ATATATAGGAGTGCAGCGATACAGGAAATTCACGGTTCGGTTTGGTGCAACAATACAGAAAATTTACGTTTTGGTTCGATACTTTACTCTCGATATTTTTTCGATAGAGAGAAATTACCATGCCCTTCTTAACTTGGAATTTATTATTATTTCACAAAAATAAGATTGTCTTTTTTTTCTGATTCAAGTAACCTTTTTCACATACTGACTTATCTGGTTGTCACATAAAACATAAAGACAGTATTCAGTTAATCAGATATCAGCTTAGCTCTTGTCATATTTTGGACACGTGATAGCATTAAAGTTTATGCAACCAAAATTCAAATTCTAAGCCACTCAAAATTAAAATATACATATATTTCATATTGACTTAGCAAACCAGGTGTAAGAATACTTTTCATTTTCTGTACAGATTCAGTAATTAAGAAGTTATTCTGTTTGACAGTTAATTTCAAAAACTGAATAAAATAAACATTAAATAAAATATTACAACTTTTTATGATCTTTGGCTTAATTACCCACTACATAGGAAGAATCTGCATTACAGTCAATTTTACAGACTACAAAGATTATGTCTGACTGTCGTGATAATTATTAATGAATTTTAAACCAGCAGCTATAAATCAAAGTTGTTTTTCTTCTCATGGGGTTATCCTTTCATTTGAGTGGAATAACTTAGTTTTAATAATATTTATCTTTGAACTGTTGGGAGTCCAAAAACAGTTTTACAGGAATACTTTTATTTCTCATTTTCTTTTGATGTTAGATATGTATGTAAAAGCATAGAGGTTTCTTTTTTTTAACCTTGAGCAAATTTTTACAGACCAATCTTTGATAGAATAAAAAAGTAACTAAATGTAATTTAAATTCAAATAAAATGTCAGTAATGCAATGCAATGACTGTTACAATGAAAATACTACATAAATCACTTCAAACTACAACACCTGATCGCTTTCTATTTACATTTTGTTCACACTTTTACATACTGAAGTACCACCAGAATCTAGGCATTTGGATAACATTCCACTTATATAACTGCAATCACAACAACACATGCTGGAGATAAAACATCCTAGCTGCAAGTAATATTTTCTAAGAACTTCACTTTGATAATTTAAGAACCACTAACACATTCTGACATTGCACATAATGAAAATATAATTTGGAAGTGCTCCGCACAGATGGCAGGAGAAGTACAACAGTTACGGTTTGAACAAACCAGATTGCTTTCTGATGGGACCGCAAGCCTGGTGTCCTATTTTATGAGCACATGCTACATCATTCTGTCATTGCTTACTCCAAAGTTTAGGTAAGCCTTAAAAGGATGGCAGGAAATCCCTTTAGTGGAGCTTGAGACATCGACTTATTCTGAGCCTTTGCTGGCCCAGTCAAACATTTTTATCTTCAGATAGTGACATTTCTTTTTTGACAAGAAAGTGCAAATTGATCTGAAACACAGTTTTTATATTTTTTATTTTTTTTGATGAAGAAGTTGAGTATGTCCAGTGTTTATTAGAGGACTGGGAAAAGTTCTAGCCGCATGACGTCTTATTTGTGTATTATTCAGTGACCCCAAAGGCGATCTTAAGTCCTGGTTCTCAGTATGCCGGCCTATGCCTGAGCCAGACATACTGAGAATGAAATTACTTTGTGCAGTTATGAAGTGAACCCTTAATTAGTGTGTCCGCTGGCCTGGAGGACTTGGGTTTGAAGGTCAGAGAAAGACTCGCTGCACTGATGATTCGAACCAGGATTTGACAGACAGCAGATGAAAGAGGCACCTTGGGCTTTGACTCAAAATACATGTGGAAAAAAAAAATCTCTTGACACATTCACAGCAAAGTATGCGATTTCAAATGGCATCCCTCACATTTTTTTAATCCAGTACTCATCCCCAACCTCTGCAGCCTCTCATCAAACTCAATGTGAAATTTCTCTAGAAAACAAATGATGTAACAGGAGATTTAATGTGTGAAATTTCAGGTTTTTAGGTTATGTTTTTTTGACCTAAGTATAAGAAAGAGCTGGAAGAGGCTTGACCCAAGCTTGACTACTTTCTCTGTCCTCTGTGCCAGTTTAAGCTGTACTATATTAAGTAAATCTACTTTCAACTTATTCTGCAGCTTCTTAAAAATGCTACTGTCAGGGGGGGGGGGGGGGGTGGATTAGTCCCTGACAGTCACTGCAAATGAAACGCATGGTCTTCCTGCTCGAGAAGCACAGTCTGAGTAACATAACCAAAGCCTCCTGTTTTATTAAAACATCAGTGGTAGTCAATGACTCAAGGTCTGAGTTATGTAACCGACTCGTGTTTTGGAGCTGGTGTCAAAGAATCAACATGCAGTTTAACAAAAATACTTTCAGGTGTGCAAATAAAATTAAAAATGGTCAGCTGAACTGAAATAGGCATTTGAATACATACGTATATAT